AGATAGATAGATAGATAGATAGATAGATAGATAGATAGATAGATAGATAGATAGATAATTTTATTGATCCCAGGGAGAAAATTGAGGCATCCAGTAGCATGGGCTAAGTTTACAGAAAAAAAACATGAAATAATAAAAGAAGAATCATAATACACAAATTTGGAAAAAGACAACATGCACAAGGCAGTAGGGAGTACTATATTCATGAATAACACACATACACTTATATATACTGTACGGGGAGAAATTGAACAGTCTGATGGCTTGAGGGACAAAGGACTTCCTGAATCTGTCCGTAGAGCAGGGCTGGGACAGCGGTCTACCACTCAAGGAGCTCCTCTGCTTCATGATGGCGCCATGCAGAGGATGGTCAGCACTGTCCATGATGTATAGCAGCTTACTGAGGGCCCTTTTTTCTGCCACCGATGTAAGGGACTCTAGCTCTGTTCCAACACAGAACCAACTTTTCTCACCAGCCTAGCTGACCTCAGGAAACACACAAACGGTTCTAGCTCAGTCCGTTTTACACATGTAGAGCTGTTGCCTCTCAGCAAGAAGGTCGCCAGATCGAATTCCAACCGGAGGTCTTTCTGGGTGGAGTTTGCATGTTTTCTCCATGCATGTGGTTTTCTCCAGATACTACGATTTCCTCCCGCAGACCAAAAGCATGCATATTGGGCTCTAACTCTATAATTGTCTATACACGTAAGTGAGAGTGAACGGTTGTTTGTCTCATTTGTCTCTATGTGGCCCTGTGATGGACTTGCGACCCATCCAGGATGTACCTCGCCCCTCGCACAGTGATTGCTGGACATGGGCACCTGCGACCCCCGTGACCCAAAATGGAAGAAGCGGGTAAAAGATAATGGATGGATAGATAGATGTCTCTATGTGTCCCGGGGATGGACTGGAGACCTGTTAAGGGTGTCCCCGCATATAGTGACAGCAGGATATGTACACCAGTGACACACCCACAAGAAACAGGTAAATATAATGGAAGGATGAATAAAATTTTATATGATTGTACCTGCAAGTCATTCACATCACAATAACTTCAAGGTTTGTCCAAAATGACCAATTTCTCAACATAAGATAATCTTAGCCCAAAACTCTGGTATTAAACAAGGCAGGTGTTATGTATTCCTACAAGGAATGGTAGACCTTTCATTTAAAATGATCTTGAGCAAAAACTCTTTAGGCTTTCTGATGGTCTTCCATCCATCCATCCTTCATCTTTACCTGCTTCTTCCTTTTTGGGTCGCGAGGGTTACTGGTGCCCATATCCAGCTATCACTGTGCAAGAGGCGGGGTACACCTTGGTCAGGTTGCAAGTCCATCACTGGGTCTTTCTGAAGGTCTTTCAACTAGTATTCAAGTATTTCTTTGGACTTTGATGTCTTTTGCAAACCTGTCCTTGGTTTGGCTTTTTTATTTTATACAACTAACTAAATAATACAAAGTAAATGAAACTGATTTGGAAAATCTCTGCCCAAAGCCAACTGTTGGCTGGAGAAATGTGAGATTTGCTTTGTGATCAGGCAGCTGCTCTGAACTTGTCTTTGATTATCTTTGGTTAAGAGATGATCTTTAATGAAGAGGAGAATCTAAAAGGTTTTAAGGGGCTCTTAGGTAAGACTCCACGGTTGATGGGATAACTAAAAACTCTTTGTCTTGCACCAACTAAATGCAACTACAGAGGGAGATAGAGGTGGTATTAATTCTGCCATCAGTAATAGTAGCAGCAGGATTTGTCACATGGCCTTTCTAAACAATTACTCAATCCTTTTGGATGGGATCTCCCTGTCCATCCAACACTGCTGTAACGTTGTTGCTTACTTGGCATATGCCTTCTCTAGCAAGGCGCTCCAAAACTCTCTTGGTGTTGCTGAGCGGCAGAAGAGCAGCACTCCATCTTCACTGACCGGCAGACGGTCATCCACCACAACGTCCGTCCAGCGGCCGAAGCGCCAGAAACGAAAATGGAAAATCCCTGCGTACAAGTCAAGACGTTTTGGGTTCCATTCTTGACCCACATGGTCTGGGATGACCTGGAATAAAGAGACGGGAGGTAAGGAAGGACATCGGTGAAGGAGGACAATTAGCCAGTGGAGAATAAGAGGAAGGGTAGTTGAAAAGTAAAACAAAAAGGTTCAGCCAACCTTTTTCCACAGTGATGGCTCAGATGCCAGGCAGGAAATGGCTGCCACCATCCAGCAGTTACCCAAACTGCCTTGGTGCAAGTCACGAGTGCTGATACCATCCACAAACAGACGAGGGTCCTTACATATCTCCTAGTTTAGTAACAGAAGAAAGATAGACAAGTTAAAAAGATACACTTTAACCTCCAAGTAAAGTGGTCTAAACAGAAAGGACATGGCAGAGATGTCTGTTTATATCTTCTTGTTGCCAACTATCTCAGAAATGTACAGAATGGAACAACCCGAGATGCTTATGTTGGTCTTTTGCCCAGTTTGCACAGGAAAGTCCTGACTTTCCTGTGCAAACTGGGCATGAGTCCTGACTCATGGTTGAAAAAGAACAGCTTTGTGGTGTAGAAAAGGATTTTTTACATAGATTTACACAACCTCCTATAGTTTGAGGTTTGAACGTTGAGCCTCTTTGTTTATTGTTTTCTATAGTTTTTGCCTTTGTAGGGAAATTTGTCTTCTATGAACTCGAGCTAGTAGTTGACCTAGTCAAATTATACAGTATAATAAAAAAATGTACATTAATTTATTTTATTTCATTTTATTGTGTTGTATTTTATTGTATTGCATCATATTATAGATGTCACAATCTGTGTTTTAGGCTGTTTTTGTTTCTTTAGTTCAATGTTCACATCTCCAGGTATGTTTCAACCATTAGTCTCAGCTCCCCAGTCCCGCCACGCCCAGTCACACCTGCTCCTGGTTTCATTAGTCACAGCTGCACTCTTCCCATCGGACCCAGTCCAGATTATCCTTTTTCTCACAACCCGCAAGTTCAACGTTGAACACTTTACATGGCCTAACCCTAACCTTGTGTCTTTCCTTGCATCCCCTCAGCTGTAAGTTTTTCTACATGTCAACCTTTTGTTTTTAATTTCACAATAAAGTTCAGTTTCACTTTTAAGATGAATGTGTTCGTCAGCATTCTGGTGTCCAAACTTCCTGAAAACATGACAGTATGGTATTCAGTTGTATTGTATTGTCTAATGTACTGCATCACTCAATGATTTGAATCTGAGAACAATGCTATACAATCAAATTATAGTTTATTTATTATTAAACCCTGATATTACACACTAACATGTTAGTTTAAACTTTAATCAGCTGCATTAAAGGAATTAAACAGTGATGGGTAATGACAGCAGTGGTTTGTATCGTCGCATGGGTTTATGAGGCCTGGAAGCTGATTCTGAGTGTCAGAGCATCTGCTGAGTGGACAGAAAACGTTGATCTCAGGGTTCAGTAACTGAAGAAGTTACACACAGTGGGGGGTTAGAAACCTTTCTGCGTAAACAGAGTGAAGACATCAACTTTCTCGAGCATGGATGAAGTTATGTTAATGTGCAGGTGAGGTCATTTGAACAGTCGTGATGGTAAATAAGTGAGTTTTTTTAAGTGTGTGTGTGTTTTAGATAATATAAGTCACCTCATCTTCTGGCTCGCTGCTGAGAAACTCACAAATGAGAAACATAAGAATGACACTTTATCTTCAATCGTGAATCATATTTATTCTAAGTACGGTTTTATATTGAATGTTGTTGGCACACGCACTGAAAAACTGCCTGAACAGCTGATGCTGATGAGAAAAGCAAGTGTTTTCCTGAGCCAAAACAGAAACAGCCCGAACCTTAAAGCACAAAACCAAACCTCGTCTCTAAACTAAGACATTTATTCTTGACCGCATGGTGACAACTTAAACCCTTGAGCCATGAGACGCATTCGTCCATTCGTGCACGGAAATAAACGTAACCTTGATTCTTCAAAGTTGACCGTTTTTATTTAAGTTGCTCCCTCTGGGCTCGTGTTTCTTTGCCTGATGTCGCTCCAGTTTTAGAAGGTTGCGTTAATTAATCCGCTCCGATGAAATGCAACATACTGAGGAGGTCGCCCAGTTTAGATTAGAAACGGGAGGCGGTACAAATATAAAACCTCCATTTGTTCGACTTGTTTAAAAATGTAACCGTGGTGTTTATTTTTAGACCGAAAAGGGGCCAAGCTCACCCTTGGCCTCTTCCAGGTCAGTCCCGGTGGGGGGCACCTCTTGTAAAAAAGGGATTGGTCGGTAGCGGGGAACAGAGGATCCTTGAAGAGCACGCCTCGACGCAGGCAGGCTCGCCTCAGCTTGGAAAAGTTCTGACCCTGAAAGTCTGTTGTTCGTTCCAGCATTTTGACTCGGACACCTGAAGTAAGATAGAGAAGGAGGTCAACAATGAATGACTCGTACAAAGAAAACACAAATAGATTTATCAGAAGATTGCTGCATTCTGTTAGATTGGCAGGACTTTTTTGCAGTCAATTTGACAAACTTCACAAAAGACCTCACATAGAGCAGCTAATTATTTCAGCTTTAATGGGGCTGTAGCACAATAATAGGCCAAGAAATACTTTTACTTTGAAGGCCTTAAAAATGTAAGATGCCGGCGTTTCTTCCTCAACATTACTGGTGCAGGGTTTTACATCCTCATGACTGACACTTTCAGTTATAAGATGTGGAGCAGACAAAGCCAAACCACAATCCCATGCTAGACAATCTCTTTTTAAAACAAACCACTCAGATCTGCTGTCTCAACTCATCCAAACAGGGACGGAGATTGAAAGTCAAAGCGTCATGTGATCCCTAGCTCGCCTTTTACGACTTTCAAGAAAGTTGACAGTCACATGTCTTTAACCTCCCTCCAAATACGTGAAAAAGTAAGAAATCTAATGTGAAACAGTTTCACAGTGGATATGTTTAGTGGGACCAAACTGCAGACAGGAAGAAGGCGGCTTTATTAACAACGCAAAAACATGAAGTTGAACAGATGACCTGACCAAGAACTGAGGAGGTGCAAGGAGTGTGTGTATACTGGGGGAAGTGATTACAACAGGTGTGCTGATTACAAAGTACAGGTGGTGCAACAGAAGCTCCAAACACAGCCCATGGAGGTCTTCTAGTGACGTGACCATAAGAACAAGATATAACCATCCCAAACAAAGATAAAAAACTAAACAAATCCCTCAAGACAGACTCCACCATAATAAACACTAATAACTTTTACATTGTGAACAAATTACCACATTTCATTGTAAAAATTCTGGTAGAATTATGCCAAAGGACTGCAGTCCAGGGCAGCATGGTGGTTCAGTTGGTAGAGCTGTTGCCTCTCAGCAAGAAGGTGACCAGTTCAAATCCCGGCCGGGGACTTTTATGGGTAGAGGTTGTATGTTCTCGCCATGCACACATCTCACAGACCAAAAACATGCATGTTAGGCTGATTGGTAACTTTAAATTGTCCCTAGGTGTGAGTGAGAGAATGAATGGTTGTTTGTCTTGTGTCCCTGTGATGGACTGGAGATCTGTCCAGGGTGTCCCCCGCCTCTCGCACTGCGACTGCTGGATATGGGCACCAGTGGCACCAGCGGCACCAGCGACCCCCGCGACCCGCGAAAAGGAAGCAACGGGTAAAGATAATGAATGGATGGATGAATGACTGGATTGCTGTCCACTTCATATGAATGTATTCAGTTTATATCTAAAAGTACAACTACATTAAAACAGTATATAATCCATGCATCAATAGTCAAAGCAAAGTCTTGAATATCTTTATTTGTTGCAGCTGTTTGACTGGACAGTTATACCTGTCATGCAGCATGCATTGTGAAGTTTGGGCATCAGATGCTATCATAGGAAAAACTCACTGATGTTAGTTTTTAAGTCAAAATATCAACTTGCAATGTAATTTCATGCATTTTGCCATTAAACAGTAAATGATTATTTTAGAAGTAATCAAAATAAGTAAAGCTTGTATGAATCTATGGTTGTTTGTGTGTCAGCTTGGATTTCATCCCTTGATTTTCTTCAGGTTGGGTCACAAAGGTATTCCTTCTCCCCAGACACAGTCTCCAGCTTCTCCTGGAGATCCCAAGGTGTTCCAAGGACAGAAGGGATATTTAATTTATGCAGCAAGTTCTGGATCACCGCCTGGGCAAATCAAAAGCTTTGCCTTTTAGCTCATCTCCTTCTTCACCACAACAGACCAGAGCAATGCCTTCATTACAGCGGATAAGGCCACAATCTGTCAGACCATCTCCCGTTCCACTTCCAGATGCTTAAACTTCACTTGAGGCAAAGGCTCAACCACAACTCATTAAGACGACATGCCACCATTTTCATTTTGGATCATTTATGTTAAAAAGAGGATAGAACTGTGGCAAATGCTTGTGTTTTTTTACACTGAACTTAAAACTAAATTTGGACTTAAAATGTATTTATCGCGATACAATCAAGCATAAACACAACCACTATGGGATTTTAGATGAGTTAACTCAGTTCAGTCTAGTAAAACTGTATATAAATGATGTGCGCATGTATTAATTAACTCTTATTCAAGAACTCCTTAGAAGTTGTTAAATGTTGGCTCCTGGTTGTGGCTGGGGTTCCTGCAGGCCGGTGCGTTTGCTTGGGGGTCACAGCAGTAACATCCAATGTTTTAGTCATCAGTCATATGAACTGCTGGGCTCAGTGAGTCAGCATCTTGTGCGCATCTGAGCGTCAGTTGGTGTGTGTGTGTGTGTGTGTTGGCTCAAATCGCTTACTGCCTTGAGGATAAAATTCAGCCCATGCAGGTGCTGCTGCCTGCAGATACCACACAGGTCAGTCTGATTAATTTTCAGTTGAAGATTGTTTTCTGATGTGTGTTTGAGAAAAACAGAACAGGCAATAAATTACACATTTACATGGAACACATCTAACTGCAGTTACCTGGAAGAGTGTGGTCAACGCTACTGAATTAAAGTTGATGTGCCTCAACTATTTTTATGCAAGTTTTTGCTGTTTCTACTGCTTCTAGAAAGAAGTTAATAGTAGTCATTTCACTCAGCTTGTGGTGTCTTGCACAAAACTGTATGTATTGTCCATTGGTCTTTCTTTTTTGTGTTTTTATTTATTTATTTTTTATTTTTTATTTGCTGTTAGGTTAGATTTATGCACCTAAACCAATCTTCTTGGGTTGGCTTTGCTACCAAAGATTTAGACTTGGGACTAGGGTTTAGGGTTGGTGATTGACACGCCCTATCCTGGGGAGGCAAACTAAAGCTGCAGCGGCTGCAGGTCAGTGGCTGGTCAGGGGTTGGACTAGAAGGTTCATCTTCTCTTTTCCTCCAAGCTGGTGGTGCATGCAGTCTCTAAGGCTTCCACTGACAGACACCTTGTGGGAGATGTAGCATCAGCTTGCACTATCAGGTGCTAGGGAAGACCAGGTTTGAGTGCCAATGTGGCAAGTAGGCAGAAAGATCTTGGAGGTCCTTGTACCTCTTCTTTGAGACACTTCTATTGAGATGCCAAGTGGACAGTTCAAGGTGGAGTGTGACCTTAGTCAGGCAGAGGTCTTGCATTCTGGACACATGCCCTGCCTAGCACAGTCGTGCCTGGAGGAGCATGGCCTTGATATTCTAAACAAAACCAACCAACAAGACAAACTAACAAGAACCAAACCAACAAAACCAAACGAAGAACATCCTGATTCATGCTTAATAATCCAGGTAGAAAAATCTAATAAACTTAAGTCAGGTCCTCTGGATTATTTCCTTTTGTTGAAACCTTACATCAAACAAGAAGAACTAACTAATTAGAACAACCAACAAGAATCAAACTAACAAAAACAAAACCAACAAGAATAAAATCAACGAAACCAACCAACAAGAACCAAACCAACAAGAACAAAACTCAAAACACCAGCCAACAAGACCAACCAAAAAAACCCAACCAACAACACCAACAAGAACCAAATCAACAAGAACTAACCAACAAGAATCAAACCAACTTGACAAACTAGCAAAAACCAAACCAAGAAAACCAACCAACAAGAATCAAACCAACAAGAACAAAACTAAAAACACCAGCCAACAAGACCAACCAAAAAAAAAACAACCAACAACAACACCAACAAGAACAAAATCAACAAGAACTAACCAACAAGAACCAAACCAACAAGAACCAAACCAACTTGACAAACTAGCAAGAACCAAACCAAGAAAACTAGCCAACAAGAACAAAGCCAAAAACACCAACCAACCAGAACCAAACCAACAAGAACAAAACTAAACATTTATGCAAGAATCCAAACAAGTTGTTTTTAAGCTCTTTTGGATTTACCATGTCCTGGATGACTGAGAATCTACACCAGAATGTACGCAAGAAGACCAAAGTGGATCACTGTCTTCTTAAAACAACTCCTTTAAAAATTAATAGTAACTTTGACAAACGCTATTTATAAATCTTTATCACCATCATTGTTTTTATATTCTTAAAGAGATAATGTCATGGTGGAAATATTTTAAACATTTACAGTGTCCCAGTGTGACACATTTCTCACACATTCTGACTTATGGAAACTAAATGGAGAAGGAACAAAGTCCATGCTCAATAATCCAGGTATAAAATCCAATATTTTCATCCAACATAAATGGAGAACGGTTCCAGACGGCAGAAAGGACTGACTTTTAAAGAAAATAAATGCGGCACAAGTTTTTGAAGAAGTCCAAAAACTCTAGTGACATGAGAGTGGAGCCCTGTAGATCACGTGAGGAAACATCTCTGGATATCTTGGAAACCCCTCAGTCAATGCTGTTCACAAGTTGTCACCAGCAGTAGAACTGCAATTTTTGGCACAAGCCCCCAGCCCGACCCGACCTGACCCAAAATTCGGGCCGGGTCGGGCCAAAGTTATGTGCTTGATGGGTGGGCCGGTTCAGTCTCATAACATAAGTTAAACAGACTATGAAAAGCGAGAGTAGCGCAGGCGCATTGCACAAAAGTTGTGCATGCGGCCCCGCCTGTCCTTTGCTTTTATCACACATTTGAGAATTTGCAATTGACCCACAACAAGCGACATAATGGAGCTGGAAAGTTTTAAGCAAAAGCTAAAAATGGGAGAACTCACTCTACAAAGCCAGCACAGTAAAACCTGCTGATGACACCTGCACCCTCAGGTCCGACTAGAGTTGCATTTGAGCCCAAAACATCTGACCTCAACCCGGCCCCAGCCTGTAGCCATTTCCGAACTCCACCCAACTCAACGAATTAACATTAATTATAGGTCCGAACCCAAATCCCCCCTGATGTTTTTAATTAAGCTTTGACTGCTTATATAGTTATTAACATTCGCTGGATGCATGCGGCTGAGTAA